TTGTGTGCGTGTGTGTGAGTGTGTGTGGGTGTGTGTGTGTACATCTATTCACCTATCTACCAATTTGTATGTCAACTTTTCTCTGCACCTTGATCACTACCTATCCATTAAGCTATATTTATATCCATTCATTCATCCTCCACTCTTTCTTTCTCTCTTTTTCTCATTTACTCTCTACCTTATCCCTTGTTCCTTACCACCCACTTATCCACCTGTCTACCCAAAGTCTGTCTATTCTATCCACCTGTCTATCCACCTATCTGTCTATTCCATCTACCTATTCCTCTCCCTCTCTTTCTCTTTCTTCTCTTCCTCTCCTCCCTTCTTCCCGACCTTCGTCCCTTTTCCTCCTACCTCCCTCTTCTCTTCTCCCTTCCCACGCACCTCCTACGTCCGCGTGCTTAACCCTTGGTGGCTCTGTTCTTTACATAATAATAAATATGATGCAACGCTGTGTATGTGTGGGGTTTGTTTTTGCTGTTGCATAATGAATGGTTGATAGGAATTATGAACTGTTATTTTTTACTGTTGTATGATTAATGGGTTGATAGGAATTATGTATTGTTGTTTTTGCTTTTGTATTATGAATGTATGATAGAAGTTGTGAATTGTTGTTTGTACTGTATATAATGTATAGTTGATAGGAATTATGCATTGTTTTTTTTTTGCTGTTGTATGATGAGTGGTTGATAGGTATTATGAACTGTTGTTTTTGCTGTTGTATAATAAATGCGAGGTAGGAATTATGCATTGTTGTTTTTGCTGTTGTTTAATGGATGTGATAGAAGTTGTGAATTGTTGTTTTACTGTGTGTATAATGCATGGTTGTTGATAGGTATTATGCATGACGATGAATGGTTGATAGGAACTATGTATTGTTGTTTTTGCTGTTGTATGATGAATGGCTGATAGGCATTATGAAATGTTGTTTTTACTGTTGTATAATAAATGCGTGATAGGAGTTATACATTGTTTGTTTAATGAATGGTTGGTAGGCATTATGAACTGTTTTTTTTTACTGTTATATAATGGATGTGTGATAGAAGTTGTGAATTGTTGTTTGTACTGTTATATAATGTATATTTGATAAGAATTATTCATTGTTGTTTTTGCTGTTGTATGATGAATTACTGATAGGCATTGTGAACTGTTGTTTTACTGTTGTATAATGAATGTATGATAGAAGTTGCGAATTGTTGTTTGTACTGTTGTATAATAAATGGTTGTTAGGAATTATGCATTGCTCTTTTTGCTGTTGCATAATGACTGTGGAATTTGTGAATTATTGTTTTTGTCTTTATACACGAAAGTGCAATAGGAACATTGATTTGTATTACAATTGTATAATGAATGTGTGATAAGGATTGTAGATTGTCGTCTTTGCTGCTGTATGATTGATATGTAATATGATGAATAAACTGTTGTTGGATTTGAAATATGAAATGTCATTTATATTTCTATACAATGAATGTTAGATGTGAAATAAGAATTTTTGTTTTACTATTGAAGGGTGAGTGCATGATATGAAATATGAATTATGCTTATTCTTTTCTTCTGCAAAAAATTATATGTGACATTTAAGTTGGAATTAGTTAGAATTAATTTCAATATCATCTTCCCTTTGTATGAATATGCGTATATGTATTTTCATTATCTTTTTCGCTATCCTTTTTTATCTCTAGTTTCTCTTTACCGTTCTTTCCCTCGTGACTGAAGAGGAATGAAACTCAAAGGCGCAGATCCAATAGTTTTGTATTATTTTGGGTTGTATATGTATGCGTGTGTGTGTGTGTGTGTGTGTGTGTGTGTGTGTATGTGTGTGTTGTCATGTGTGTGTGTGTGTGTGTGTGGGTGTGTGTGTGTGTATGTGTGTGTGTGTGTGTGTGTGTGCATGGATGAATATATATATGTACATACATACAATACATACATAACATACATACATACATACATACATATACATACATACCCATATGTGCGTTCTTTCATGTATATACATATATACATATACATGATATATGTATTGTTATTATATATATATATACATATATATATATATGCTATATATATATATATATATATATATATATATATATATATATATATATATATATATATATATATGTATATAGATAGATAGATAGATAGATTAGATATAGATATAGATATATATGTATGTATAATATTTATATATGTAGATATATATAGATAGGTAGAAAGATAGATAGATATAGATATAACATATACATATATCCATGTATGTGTGTGGTATATATGTGTTTGCATATATATATATATATATATGAATATATGCACATTACATTATATATAAACTCGTGATGTTGCTATCCCTGAGAAACGAAAGTTCGTCCACTGGAGAACCAATCAACCAAGCAAGAAAAAATAGCCAAAGACTTGTGTAATAAAACCTTTTCTTGAGTGAAGAACAATCTTTCGCAAAATAAAAAATCATTTTTTCATCTCAGCTCTCCTTGGGGCTCTCGCGGCGGCCTCTCCTCCTCTCTGCCTTGCCTCTCGCCTCTCGCCTCTCCGTTTTTCGCCCCTTTGTTTCTTTCCTTCTTGTCTGTTTATTATTCATATTTCTATATTCTTATCTACATCTTTGTCAATGTGTGTGTAATATATATTAATATTATTATATTATATATATATATATATATAATATATATACTATATATATATTTATATATATTGTGTGTGTGTGTGTTGTGTGTGTGTGTGTGTGTGTTTGTGTGTGTGTGTGTGTGTGTGTGTGTGTGTGTGTGTGTGTACACACACACACACTAACACACACATATACAGATATATATTATATATATATATATATATATATATTACATATATATATATATATATATATATATATATATATATATATATATATATATATATATATTATATATATATGTACATACATACCTATTATGTGTGTGCAGTTTGAGCCACAACTAACTGAAATCATGATGCAAAGAGACAAGCAAATTATATACACGAATAAGGAATCTCAGAATACACAGTCAAATTCTGCCGCAGTTTCGCTGATCCGCCCGCCGCCAGGATGCGTCGCCGGGCCGGTCATATGCCCGGCATCCGGCCAGACCTCGTTGAAAGAGAGAGGAGACGGGGTAGAAAGAGAGCGACTTGGTGATGAGGAAGAGAGGATCTGGAGGTGAGACGGTCAGGGCCGAGGACCATGCGATGAAAGAGCGCAAGCCACCGACCGGGCGCTGCACCGCGAGAGGGGGGACCGCCGGGGCTGACGAGGAGCTGCGTCGGGCGGGGAGACGATGTGGACCAGACGCCGGCAGGCGGTGGCTGGAGTCCAGGCGTAGAGCGAGACGGGCGGCAGCCTGGAGTCCCGATGTCCGGTAGGGAAATTCTCCGGGAGGGCGTGGACCAAACGAGCATACATAAGAGACTGCAGCCAGAGACGAGAGGAGGAGCGGCGGCGGCGCGACAATCCGCGTAAGCAAAGCCAGAGGACGACACCGGCGCTCGTACCACTGATGAACGAGCCCGGCGCGGCGTAGCTGACGACGAGGCAAGCGGGCGCCGGAAGGACAGCCCAGTAGGAATCGAACTAGCGGGGGGGAAAAAGGGGAAGGAACAGAAAGGAAGAGGGACGATGGGGCAAGAAAAGAAAGAGCGCGCGACCGGTGACCGAGGAGGCGCGGGAGGGACAGCGCGGCAGAGGGCGACGATCGACGAGCTCCGGGGGCGTGGCGAGACGCCGCTCGCAGGTAAGGCGGAGATACGGAAGAGGGAGATTCGAGAGCGAGAACGAG